CATACATACATACATGAATACATACACGTACCCAATACCTATGCGGCACGTTAGATGTCGAAATGGTGTGCCTGTAAGAATGACTGGCTTGGAGAGCTGCTCAAGCATGAAGCTAAGTGCCGATGCAGTGTAGGCCATCGTGTCCTCGGCCAGGCTTAGTGACGTGCAAGCACGTCCAGATCAACGGGACACATGCAGCGGCTTGCATTCTTGCAGTTTGGGATTCCGTGCCATGCAAGACCTTGGCTTTGGGCTTGCATCAGAGTGTAACGAACGTGCAGGAGAGGAGCACTTCTCTCCAGTTTTTGCTAAGCTCGTCTGCACAATGAACTGGTGCCAGGCTGCGACAAAGCCGTCAAAATCGTAGTAATGGCGTTCGATGCACGAAGCCATGGTGCACCAATCTTCAGGGCACCTCAACACAGAAGATGTACTTGCAAATTGAACGCCCCGAAACAGGAAAACCCAAAGGTCAACTGCAATTCCATAGATTTCTCAAGGAACATGTCAGCGGAGTCCAACAGCGGGTCGAACTCATCGAAGAAACACTGCGGAAAAAGCTCCTTCGGTTCCATTCATGCTCTAGACTCCAAGCTCGGACGAATCTAAGCTAGTGTCCAGCGTCCTGATTGAGCTCGTCCACAGACCGCAGTCGCTTCTTCAGCGCCCCACGAATTGGGCCTAAGCTCCCGTCTGCACCGCGGGCCATACCAATTGTACCACCAGTGTACCTAGGATAATGCGACGGACATGTGCAGAAGCTCTCGGCTCATCTCCACCATGTGCAGCACAAATGCAGTATGAGAACCTTTCTCAGCACACTCCTCAGTGGCTTCAGCACAAAAATTCTACTGAGCAGGGCATCAGCATGTGAAAACCAGACCACAGAGGGCAAGATAAGCACATGTGCGACTAAATGTCCCATGTGGGTTCAACAATTCCGGCACGTCCGACGTGTTCGGGGACACCGGCGACTGCTGTCTCGCATAACCAGATGGCCCTCCAAGGGCTGCCATGGCTCGATGGCTCGGTTCTCTACGGCCCGAGGTGTGCACGTTTCGGAATGTCTTTTGCCGTGACTTTGGCTCCCTGCTGCACGGCTTTTATTTGGACTTGCAGGATTGAGACATCGGTGAAGAGCTCCAGCGATTGCAGAACAGCATCATCCCCAAGAAGCACGCAATAGGGTAGATCTCAGATACTCGCATCACCCATAAGCCACAACAATGCTCAAAGGTTGGCACCCCTCAAAAAGAATTTAATTGCCATGACTGGTGACTAGCCGCCGATTGAGCGGCCCTGTTCCGGGGGCGACCCTAACGTGGCGTGAAAAAAACCTGAGACCGTCAGGGCCTCGTCCTGTTGTGGAGCCAATGCCATCACTGGGATAAACGACGATGCACTCCTTGAAACAGCAATTCGTAAGGCTGCAAAGCTTTCGGTACGAGACATGCAGGCGCGAATGGACCGATGAGCAGGCCCTGTGCAGGCAAGCCTCTGAATCATGTAATGGCCACCCAGGTACTCGGGAGTCGCGCCAACAGGAACTTGTGACTGATAAACTTTCAATCCAACTTTGGTCCAACTTCCGACTGGATCAACTTGGACCTCCATGGCCGGACATGCGAAGACCGTTGCAGACGCTGGCGCTGTTCTATTCAAGCAGCGGCGATGCAAAACTTTAGCGCACGCGTTACAACAGTCTGCAGTGCGCTGCCATCGTGCCTTGCGCTGCGTGAGCGCCTGCATCAAGGACGAGCGCCGTGCCTGCCATCGCAAGACACGTTAAAGACTCCATGCAATCGCCACTTCAGCTGCATCTGCACAATGCTGATTGGCATTCTCGTGCCGGACCATGCCATGAAAGCGTTCAACATTGCAACACAAACTGCCATCTGCGAACCTCTCTTGACGCCATGCACTTCACAAACCAAATCGTTTTCCCCCACAAGCCCAACCCTCCCTGAAATTACGACCAGTGCGCTCAAATCGACCAACCCACCCTGAAACGGAACCGGCGCATGATCAATCCAAATCCAACGCGCCAATTGGTAGCGGTGACAACTCAAGAAAAGCATGCACGTGACGCAGACGAGGTACAAATTGTGATGATCATGACATTCGCTCAAGTCCAAAGACCGAGTTTCACGACGCAGAAGAGTCTGTCGGATCTTCCACGAAAGGGTCTCTGAGCACCATTGCGGATCATCTTCACCCTTCTCATCCAAACAACCCCAACGACGGAAGAGTGCTCTTACCACGCCAACGTAGGTGCGAAAGCGGCTTGAGGTGTTCTCCTGTGTCCGGGAACGAAGAAAAGAGCCCGAATAGAACGGGAAATGAGAAGAGACCGGCCCCGATGCCCGCGGCCCGTGGCCCATCTGACTCGGGGCACTCCTAGTCCGAAGATGCCCGAAGATCCAGTACCTTCCTGGGTAAAGGTGACGCTGTTGCGCTGTTGAGTTTTGCTCCAAGAGAAAACTCTCAGCAGGGACTCCTCCGAACCACAAAATCAATGCATTTCGTAACGAAGTGAGCAGTATGCGAACAGGCGACATACCGTGCCAAGGCTGGGAACTACAGAGCTGAGAAGACGGACGCCATCGATATTCATCTCGATAAGCTTGCTCCTTGCCTTGAGTGTGTTGGTCCGCAAGGTCAATGGCCGTTGCTGCTCGTTGGCCTGAGACGCATCCACCACGCAAACTAAGACTTCACTGCAGTCTGGCGAGGTGCATGAAACACATGACTGTGCGAAATAGCGCGCAAGGCACCTCGAAGAACTTGATTGCCGTCTCCGGGCTGAACATCTGCAGAAAGTACTCGGCCAGCTCTTCTGAATACCCGAAGTAGGTAGAGCAGTTGGCGACAAGGCCTTTAAAGACCTCATTACACACAAGAGTCCAATCGCCGATGCACAACGCATTTCGAAACCAAGATCGCGCCTCTTCCCTGGTGCGCTTCTCACCCAACTCTTGCCTTGTGCGCGAAGTCGACCGAATGTTCTGGAAAGCCCTACTGTCGCATGCATCAGCTTTGCCTCGAGAAGTGCATCTAAGTGGCGCCTTCCTCCACTGACCTAGAAGGCTGGCATCATCCTGAATCTCTTGCTTCAGCGCGTTGAGATCCGTTTGCTTGCCTCATGGATGCTGGCTTGGCTGTGAGCCTTGCTGTCTTTTGTCACTGCTCCCAGTTCTGGCCTTCTGCCACTCGTGCCAGGATGCGGGATCCAAGCTGAGCATCTCCGCCCTGCGTACAGCACGGACTTACATGACTTGCCCCTCTATCTGCAACCGACGGATTCCAGAAGGAATGGTCGATCTGGTCGCAAGAGCAGATCCCTTTTGTTGTCGTCGCAAACAAGCTCGATCAGGACCTCGTTGGCATCATCCAGTCCGTCGGCATCGTCTATGGCGTCTTCACCATCCTCGTCCGCCTGCCAAGGTGTCGCAAGCTCATCAACGCAGCGAGTGCAAAGTCTGAGATGCTGTCTGTAAGAACAAACCATGATGCGAGTAACTGCTGAGTTGCTGGGCGGACCTCACCCTGCAGGAAAGTACAATGCTTGTCAGTATTCATGTGGCTACCTGCGACCTCTTGACGGTGGTTTGTATCTGAATCTCAACTACAAAGCTCCCTGTCCGAAGCTTTGATGAGTACTTCGTGGATCTACAGCTAGTGACTTCAAAACCTCATGTCTGAAATCCCACTCGGTCTTGATGTGGCGTCGCCTGCATTTTTCACACAAAGCCGGCTAGAGAGCTAAGGTGAGCTAGGATGAGCTAGGAGCATGCAACATATGCAGAACATCCTCGCCCACCTCAGCCTCTTCCTCCTCATCATCTTCCTTGGCTTCTGTCAAATCAAGCACGCATGCATAGAACCAGTGCACGGCTGCTTCGGCCGAAGCGAAGCTTCGGTCCAACCAGCAGTTTCCGCAACGGCTAAGATTGTCAGCCAAACGTCGCCTCTGGCCGACCCGTTTGGACCAGGATAGCCCACCTCCAGCCTACTGTCCTGCTTTATGCGTGTGCCTGTTCAACCAAAATCGTGCTCCCGCCACAGCACCGAGACCGAAGTTACAGTACGACGCCAAACGCCACTTCGAACTTGACTGCACGGAGGCGGCTGCAAAGCAGCGCGCATGCAGCGCACACACACACACACACACAAACGCGCAGAGCTGCTATCACATGGCGTCTAAGAGATCGCCGCCAAGGCACCAGATCGACGTCTGCGTCCTCTTCGCCTTCCTCAAAGAGCCGGAGCTGCTCCACCATGGCACAGCCGCTGCGCGCTCTTCTAGCCCTAGGATGTGTAAGGGTTGCTACTAAAGGGTGGTGCTAGGTCCTCGCCTTCTGTGGCAGACATCGGCCCAGCGTGGTTTTTGCCCCGCTCTCTCCGCTTGCAGACCATCTATTCGTGCAACAACCCCTTGTACTGTGCAACAAAATTTTGACTGCATGTAGCTGTTTAGCGCTTGTTGCAACTGCAGCCGCCGGCATTATGCCTTGGAGCATGTTGCCGACTGGCTCATAGCAACAATTGTCAAGCGTCAGAGCCCCCTGCAAGGTGCGGCCTGTTGCCTTCTGTGATTACTCGAGCCAAGCGGAAGAGACTACTGAGACACGGGGCTCCAGCCAGGAGTGAAATGAGGATCGTTTCACTAATGCTCTATGCTTCTTCGACGATAAGCACAGCAATTTGAGTCGAGGCCCATTCAGCGGACATCGTTTCCTCCAGTCCCGGTCCACATATTTCCCAGACACGCTCTACTCATCCGCAAATGCAAAGTGCTGGTGACCCCTGTAGCCATCCGCTCAGTGACCTATAGTTTTGACGAATGCGCATACCTTGCATATCAAAGAGCCCGATCGCAGCAAATAGTGCGAATCAACATAAGTCCGGCACGAGCCACACTGGATTGTGCTAGCGATGCTTATTGCAAGAGCAATGAACGCCCTGTGTAAATACTCTCCGTCGTGTCGGCCGGCGGTGCTCTTGGTGGGTCCGTACGGCCCTACGGTTCTTCATCGTGCGCGTAGCACGTGCCGGATTATCGTGGTAGTAAGCAACTCTACGCAATGGTTCAGTATGGTTCAGTTCAGCTCAGTTTTGCTTGTCCCCAGCCCTATGGCCACGAACGATCCCAGCATTCGGAATTCACAAAAACCTGATCCCGGCATCCGCACAAGCTGCAGAGCTTTGAAGCCGCTCGAGCTGGACTCTCTGGCAGCCTGGCCCTGACAAGTTTTCATCGCTTCGATTCTCTTCGAATGGGAAAGCTGGCCAGGACGCAGAGGCCTGAAGCCAACGCATGTCAATGGCAATCGGGATGACCAAAAACGCCATCACGGGAGTCAGAATGTACATCACCAAAAAGACGGGCCACACAGGAAGAGGTCTTTGCGACAGTGACCGCAAGCGCTCGTGAATAAACAAGGGACCTGGCCCTGCAAAGGGTACACGGTTCTCAGGGACTTTGGTCGATAGACCCAATGCATTCGAAGCCGATGCGGCCATGGCCAGAGGCCCAAGAGGCCGAAGAGGCGGCCGAAGAGGCCCTTCTCCATGGCCTTCCGCGTGAACGTCGGGAGACGGCACGCTCTCCACCATGCTGAGTATATCTTGCGGGGATCCGGGCTCCCACCTCCACGTCGCATTTATGAGAAGCCGAGGGAGCAGCCCCGCATTCTGGGCAAGGAAGCGATGCGCCGCCTTGGAATCGCCCAAGGCAGCCTCCAAGCGATGCCGCAAGGCCTCCACATGAGCAGGGCCGCAAATGACGACGACGTGCTCCGGGCTCGGACGGGCGGGCACCGAGAAAGACCCCCACTCCTCGAGCTCCAGAAGAGGAGCCTGCTCCGCCGCCGCCGCGCGCTCGGCCCGTCGCTCGGCCCGGCGCTCGGCCCGGCGCTCTCCGAGGCTCCAGCGCAGCGCCGCGCCGATGCGGCTCGTCTCTGCAGCGGCCCTGCGCTGCAGGCGACGCACCAGGTCCTCGTCGGTTTCCTCGCCGGCCAAGTGGTAGCGACTCGAGAGGTGCCGCTCCAAACCGAGGAGTATCTGGTAGGCCATGAATTCGTCTCTCTCCTCGGGCACTTTCAGCATTCACATGCCTTATCTCCAAGAGCACTCACGTTTTGTGCCAAGCAAGAGGGATCGCCTCAAGGCATTTTCCCCTATGCATTTCCTTGCCGGCGGGGTAGAGAATCATGTGACTATCATTAAATTTGTTGAGGGGGGTTCGGCAGGGGAACCACTAATTCAACTGGCAGGGGACCATTGCAGCATTTTCTCCTTGAAGAAGGAAATTACAATGAGACTGGAATGGGGGACCATGTCATCATCGGGGTTGGCCATGTTATGATTATCATCCTTGCTGTTGGTGGAAAACAGTGGGAGGGGTCTCCACTGTTTCTTCCTGTTCTTGGCTGAAACAAGGCATACATGCAGACCTAAGACGTCCAATAATTCTTGATTCTAGACAGCTTGCACCCATCGCAGCAGTAGGTGGGAAAAACCGTATTGTGAGCGATAGTTCTGCTGCAAGAATCCCACACTGTCCGAAGTTTGGGGTCAAGTAAAGACTTGGTCCTAGCGACTGAAGCATGCTGAAGCTCACCAAGCTTCTTCCAGCATGACCTCATGCAAGATGGGGCAGTCTTGCAGAAGGAGCTCTCTCCAAGCTGTCGCGCAGGTAGTCGGTGGCACCACTGTACCCCAGTGCCTCCTGCGGCAAATTTGTTTCAACCAGTGGAGTCTTTTCTAAGCCGCTTGGAACCGGTTAAACTTTTGACACGCCTCGAACTCAGAAGCTGGCCCGGATGCAAGGACAGGCTCTGTGCCAACCGACGGCGTGTCGTCAGTTGTTCACGGTCAATTGGAGCCAGTTTTCTGCTGTGCCCATCCGCCCACCTGGACAGATACCAATGGTCACTCTGGCGGCAAGGCACCTGTTTATTGGCTTCCACAAGCGATGGATGTGCCTCACTGCTTCGGCACATTCCGAAGCCACAGAATCTGACGATCCCGACCTGCGGCAAGCGCCAACAGGTCGCACTGCGGCGAGCAGCAAACAAGCCGTGGACACTGTTTCCTGGTGTCTGACATGCTAGTCATGCAAAACTCCTGCACCTGCAAGGCAAGTGAAGTGTGATTGAAAGCCAGCTTCGGACTGTGGAGCCTTGCTTTCAAGCCTGCGAGATCTTGTTTGTCAATCTCCAGGAAAAGCATCGCCGGTTGGAATGCCTCCAAAAAAGCGGGCGCTGGAGCTGTCGAACTTTGAATTTCGAGCGATGCTCTCTGCCTCCAACAGACGCCTCAAAGTCGGAGCGCTCTGCGGGTGTCCGTGGGGGATCCCAGCGAGGAGAAGGCGCCAGTGCTGCGGTGCCAAAGCCGCCAGCTGAAACATTCCCCGCCCCGCGCTGATCGCGGGCTGCTCGCGGGCTTCTGCCTTCCTTACAGTGGACTTGAATCCTTTCAAGGGGCGGGGCCGTGCAGCGTGTGCTCGGGAGCCGGTCAAGGTTGAAGGGGGACGACTTCACGCCCCACAGGCAACATGTTGAACAGGTGTAGTCTTTGGGAATTCGCGTGCTGGAGCTGTAAGAGCCAGAGTTTCATTGGATGCGGAACTCGTGGAGATCAGCTTTATTGCACAGTGCTGTTTGATTCTTTTTGCCGACTGTCATTGTCGGACGAGATCACACGAGCGCAGAAGAGCAAATCATCTGCCTTTTGGCCCGCAAGCATACTTTGAAAGCTTCGGCGGGGAGGATCACGACAAACGGACGAATCACAATCCACGCGTCATCGTGGCCACCATGTTTGCTCAACAAGGGGATCTATCTCACCATCTTTTCTTGCACTTCAACACTCGCCCCTTGCTCGCAAAGGTGATGGGACCTAGACCGTGTAAATGTGTTGTTTTGCCTATGGGCTGCAGGACAGCCACAGCGTCTCTGACACAGGCTGAACTGCGAACTGCCAATTCTATCAGCAATGTGAAACACCAAGTGAGAACTAATGTAGAGTTAGCTTGCGTGGCCACGACATGGAGAATTTCTTTGGCATGGCTACGGACACCTATGGGTACGGATGTAATAAACAGTGTGCACAAAGAACGCAGGCTCACTTCTTTGGTGCCTCAATTGGACAGTAAGCACTTTTGAATTGCTGTCTGCTGGTTCTGCTGACACGGCTGCAATCTTGCCACCCAATATGCCATCACGCATGGAGAATTCAGGACTGGCGACCATCCAACATAGCAGCGCCACATTCGTTCTACAATGCGGGATGCTGAAGACAAAGCTAAGCTCCCGGCGCCACGCGTTCGATGAGCTGACGCATCTGGCAAGCTGACCCCCGACATCCGTCAAATCTCTTGACGAACTGTTGTCCCCAAACAGCCTCAACTGGACTCACTTTCCTCGTGGCTACGAGGAGCCCACGGCAACCTGCACGGGACGCCGGCATGGTTGGACTCTAGACTCCTGAAATCTTTTGAACGGCGAATCACACTTGGCTCCCAGCTCGATTTCTTGTTCGCTTGCCACCAAGACTCGGATGAGGACACGTCCCGAGGACACGTCTCATGCAGTGACCGAGCGGATTCGGTCCCGGGCAGTATTCTCCGTTCGCTGTCTCTGCCTCAGCCGTGCTACTACATGCTCAACAAGCAGCGATTCCATCTTTCCACAGAGGGCGGCACAGTCTCCTGCACTCTTGGGCGAAAACTATCTGCTCTCGAAAACCTTGGAACAGGAAGATTGTACTCAGAGGCACAAACTTCGACATCCGGCAGAGTGCGAGACGTGCGAGAGGACGCGCTGCCCTCCGCAGTACGATAGGCCTGCACATATCTACGTAAACTCACAGCTTGAGTTCAGTGGATAAAAACCATCATCATACCGTTGCAGAGGGGTGTGCTGGTGGCAGCGGTGGTGGTGGTGTGGCAGGGGCGGCGGACGCGGCGGGGGCAGTGGCGGTGGCAGTGGCGTTGACGGTGGCGGCGGTGGCAGTGGCGTCTTTTTTGCTGGTCTCCGGCGTTGGAACTCTGTGTCCTGGTGGTCTTGCCGTGGTCTCCTAGTGATCGTGGTCATCCTGGGTACAGGCATGCACACAGGGTGCGCTACGCTCGAAAGAAGATATTAACCGAATTGAGTTTGATTTCCGGTGGAATTTTATGGTCGTCTCCTGGTGGTCTCCGGGTTATCTCCTGATAGTCTCATGGTGGTCTCATGCTGGTCTCCTTGTCGTCGCTTGGTGGTCTCGTCTCCTGGTTGCCCTGGTCGTCTTGGTCGTAGTGGTCGTCGTGGTTATCCTCGCGGTCCTTGTGGTCCTGGTCGTCATGTTCGTCGTGGAGCTCTTGCAGTTTTTTTGGGATCTATGCTGGCATAATGTTTTTTGAGTAATATTTTGATTGCAGTCGGGTAGCAGTCGAACAGAATCCTCGATGAATGTTACGGTATTATTTGGTTGAATCTGTCGTTAATCGAAGTTCCATTGCATCTTAACTAAGGGATGTCCATTGGTTTTGATGGACTCACTCACACATGCACTCCGCGTTATGGGTGGAGGACAAAAAGAGCAAGGCAAAAACAAGGGCGGCGAGGCTGCCTTTTCGCTGACACCTGGGTTCCTTGTCGAGGGACACGGGCGGCACTTTTTTGTTGTGCATTCGCGGCACATTAAAGGGAGCCAACAAAGCAGGTTCTTGGCAGCATGGATCAAGCATTCACGATTAACGTCTTCAGGCTTCATTTCACGTCCAGCAACCGTGGTCCTGCCCCCAAGAAGTCCCGCCCCGCAGCGCCATGAAGACAAGCATCAGGCAGGCACCTCAGCATGCAAAGAGCAGAGCTCTGAGGGCGTCAAGGCTGCCTTGAGGATCCTCGGAGTAAGGCCGGGACGAGTGTCTCCCTGTCTCCCTGTATTCCCTGTCTCTGAGGCTGCGACCGCCAGTAGCGAAGGCCATAGCCAGCTCCCGGAAGTGGCGCGCATCCAGCTCCTGACAGCCGCAGGGGACGAGGACAAACGCCCCTTTTTTCGAAGGCCAAGGCGGCAATAGGACGAAGAAGTCGCTTTTTTGCGTTCTTGTGCAAGCTTCTGCGATCTGCACACTCTCATCTCAACAGCGCACTAAAGGCTGGGATGCTTACACCCACAGTCCATGCCTGAGGTTGTCTTCAAGTCGGAGATCCCAGCGAAAGCTTACAAAACCGAATGACAAAAACGCATCAAAAGCTGCAACTATCTCTTCACCAGGCACCGCCATGGCAGCAAGAAATACCCAAACAAGTTGGCTGCTCGATAAACCCGTCTGAACCAACGTCCATTCCTGGGCGACACGCATGATGTTTCTCGTGGCCGCAGAGCCAATGCCAAGTGCCGACGGGTGCAGGTTGATGGATGCACCAAACACGACACCAGCATGAACGCCATAGCGGTCGGTCCGCTCGTTGGGCCGGTAGACCGCACGAAGCGGGCCAACCGCCAGGGCTGAACAGGCCAGCGATTGCCAGCACTCCTACTTCCCAACCGCACTTAGGCCGCGTCGCAATAGAAGTACTAGGAAGGGGAGCAGAAGGATGAGAAGCAACTGTCCCAGAAAGAGGTCCAGCAGTAGGTCTTAAGTACACCTGCCAAACTAGCTCGATCGGCCCGGTTTAATGGTTGGAGTCAGCGCTGCAATCCCACACAACTTCATGTGGAACAAGCAACAACCTCTGAATAGATCGCACACGGCGCGAGAGCACCTTTCTTCGACAGAAGTATGTCTCAACACGTTCGGATGTCTGTACCGTATGGACCAAAAATGTCACACACTTCATGCCTCAGGCCTAAGTAGCGTGCGGCAGCCACCAGCACTCAGAATGATTCATCTTGCATGCGGAGTCAAGACTGGATCAAGTGGAATGGGCAAACTGTTCTGCGAGGCAGCTGCAGGCACGGCACACAAACAGCACAAAGTTTTTCATGTGGTGTATCAGATTGATTGGGCTCTGCACAGATTGCACACAGTCTTCCACAGGCCGTCAGGGCAGACACCATGCCGCTTGTAATGGCACATGGTCCTGGTGCGATGTCTTCCAGACTAATGCTGCCATGCAGCCACGTTTTTGAAAACACGAGGGTCGTACATCACTGCGCGAAAAAGCTCCTGGTCCTCGGTTCGAGGCGGCTCGAGGCTTGGAGGTGCAAACGTACGAGGCGCCTGCCACACCCTAATGCTGAAGCTCAGCTCAGGAACGACCACGCGGAACCCCGCTCAGCGAAATGTTGAAGTTGTTCTCATGACAAGACGCATAACCCTCCACAGCGCATGACTACTTTTACACCACGCAAAGTACGAACCAAATGTTGTACACTTCGAGCGGGACGAAACAGAATCACTCCCCCAGTTTTGTTTTTGGCTCCGCATGGTTCACAAGGGTGCTGACGGGAGTGCTTTGCATGATGGGCCTCCACCTAACATGCCGAAAGTGGGGAGCTGAAGAAACGGCGCTGAACCAGCGCTGCTAAAAACCAGGCGACAACCCAGTCCTGGAGTACATAAGCCCGCTCTGAGTTTGATTGTGGTCCGAGTATCTGGATTGATGAGGCTCACAACCCTTCCGCGATGCACAGGAGCGGGATAGGCAGCGAAGGTGCCACTTGCTCCAAAGAGTTCCTTAGACTTCAAGCAGCTGCAGGGGCGCGTTCCGAAACTGGGGGTCGAAGGCACGGCAGGTCAGAGGCCATCCGAGCTGACAAACATCGTTTGATGTTGTTGCGGCTCAGGCATAGCCCGCCACTTGTGCTCTGCGGCACTGTCATGTCGCATGTTGCCAGTGCAACTACATACCCCTTAAGTACCCCATAAGCGGTTGCACATCGACACAGGGATTCACGGCCCAGGCTCGGCGAGCAAGTCATCAATCGGCTGCCTGTAGCCGGTCTCGGCGTGTCTTTTCAGAACGTCCTTTGCCGCTTCTGAGGAGATGACGTAAGCCGTAGTGCCAAGGCCGGGAGCACGTTCGATCTTAACGGGACCGTACCAATCAGGCGCTGTGCGCTCGACTCTGACAACCCCGGGGGGGACCCCAAGGTTCGGAGCATCCTTCTGTGCCTCTTTTCGAAGCTTCAGTGAGGCGGCGGAATGCACCAGGCTCAGGTGCAGAATCTTCCAGGAAGTCGCACTCGCCCACTCATCCAATGTGTCCAGCATGGTCTTTAGGTCGGAAGCTGAAAGAACCAGGACATTGTCTTCGAAAATCACAGCCCAGGGCATACCTTCAGAAGTGACCTCCTCGTAAACTGCAAGATGAGAGAAGTAGCAACCGCGGGCACCATCGGCCACATCACGCTTGAATAGACGAACCCGTGGATTGCAAACAGTTTCCAAAGCAGCTAAGGCGTTGCTCCTCCGCTCGCTTGCGCAATCTGTGCTGATCAAGAAACAATTAGAAATCTCAACGGTGTCCCCAGAAAAGCACCTGACTCGACGGCTTCCCAGCCGTCCGGGAGTTGCTGCAGAGGAGCTCCAGAATTGCAGAAAGGTCCTTCCCGATGCGGCTAAGCTAAGCGCTAGCATCCAGAAACGCGGCTTGGAAATCGCCATCGGGCCAAGACAGATCAGATCTGTACAAACACAGAAACAGTTCTCTGCACAGCACGGCGATTGCCTTAAAGTCCTCTCTCCCGACTCTCGATTGAGCTGCTGCATCGGTCGCTTCAGGTCGCTTCCGCCACACTGACGGTTCGAGCCGAGCCGAAGCACACCACTTTTGTTCGCAATGCGGCGCCATGCTGGACAGCCAGATTCAAAGCATGCAAAGCATCCTCCGTTCTCTGCACGAGATCATCGTACTCTTGGATCATGTCGCGGCCAATCCTAAAGTCAAAAGTTCAGTGTTGTCAAACTGCTCAAACACGGCCATGTCTGTAGCTCAACTATCCGAGAGGCAGAAGAGCATCCGGGTTGTCCGACAGCCTGAGACTTGCATCCCAGGGCCTGTGGTCCTTCTGCCTTCCGTCGGATGACGTCAGTTGCCAAGCTGGGCACTGAAGGTGCCTCCGCCGCTGTCGGTACCCTCGCATAAGTCAACGAGTCAGCACATCACTGCGACAAGGCTCTACGATCTAAGGCTAAGTGCGGCCTTGGCCGCAAGACGCTGAACAGGAGCCCCAGATGCCCCACGTTGCCCATCCACAGAAATGCCTCAAAGCGCTTGAGTTGCAAAATGTCGCAGATGTCGACACCAAGAGGAGCAACAATTACGAAGAGAAGAGCACGGAAGATCAACCCAAGGCCGAGACTGTGTGTGACAACTTCTCGGGCACTTTCCGGCCTTGCGAGCGCTAAAAGTCGTTGAGTCAACTCTTGAAAGAAACGGAAGCGGCTTTCAAAAGGCTGCGCCTCCTCGGTGTCCGTCAGCTCGCACTCTTTGCCTTTCAACCCCAAATGCACACAAATTCACCTTTGCCCTTAGAAACACGGCCCCAGAGGAATTTCCAGCCTCCAGATGTCGGATATTGCCGGATGCTGCGAAACCTTTTGGATCGCTTCAATAGCCATGAACTTCTTTTGATATTTTTCGTGGCAACTTCGGCCTCTTTCTCTGTCCACTGCACTTGCCACAGGCGCCCCAGTCCTGTCAGATGCCCGTCAAAGCTCACTTGTCTCAAGCTCTGCGTGCGCTGAAAACCACTGCTATGAAGCATGACTGCACCTACAGAGACAGAAGACCCGAAGGCCCCGAAGAAGTCCTCCCAATCACCAAAGATACAGTCTTTGGGTGCAGGGCCACCGCATTCATGTCTGGCCTGAATGCAACCCTGCCCCAAACTCAACCGCTTTCAGACGGGATCTTCGCGGCATGTTTGATGCTGCCAGGCTTTGAGGCTGCACGCACGCAACAGAACCAGCTTCAAATCACAATTGTGAAAAGAACGCAGGCAGCCACGTCTGTGCCAACTATCCTCGGCCACACGACATGTGCCACCTGTTGATGCTGCAATAACTTTACAGAGATCCTAGAGACCCAGAGTATGCTGATGGCCAGTCTCTGGAGAGCAGTGGGTGCGCGACTCCACCAGAGAGAAGCTGGGGGGGACGACTGATGCACCAAAAGATGGCGTCCGGAAGTCATGCACATCTACCGAGCTGCCTTGTCGCACGTGGGCAACTTCCGAGCTCATTTACAGTGCAATCACTGTACAAGAAACGATTAGATAAGAAACGTAGGGGCTACGTCAGCCGGACAACACCAAAAAACAGAAATCTTAAACTGCCTTCTAGCTAAGAAATGAAGGGTACCCAACGTTTTAGGATCATTTCTTATTTCTGTGGTTTTCCAGGTCGTGACACTACAATATGAAGCAGAGGCCAAAATAAGAAATGTAGGGTGCTATGTTTCTTATGTTGGCTGGTTTTCAAGCCCTAAGCCTAGGGCACACGGTAGGAGCCAAAATAAGAAACGTAGGGGGCTACGTCTCTTATTTTGGCTGGTT